CATATAGCTAAAAGAAGTAACGAAACTCCTTTCTACAACTTTATACCTCATCTGAACAGAAAACAACTTTCCAAGTACAAAGCACATAACCAATGCAGTATTAAACCGTTGGTCGATAAAGAACAGTAATGTTTAGCAAACAAGATGCATGAAGACAGTCGTAGTAGGACTTACATTGATAGAACAGGAATGCCTGATGTTATCATCCAAAGCATTCATGCAAAAAGAAGAAAATGACATGAGCAATTACTCATGTACATCATTTTAAAATTAAAGGATATTTCCTTTCCACATTATTCAGCAATAGTTAATAGTATAACCTTTCCACATTACATATGTCCAAAACTTAACAATTCACCAAATGAATCCTCGTGTATTTACTCTTTAATAAGATACAAAAAGATGTGACAGAAATGAGATATGAGAAAGCAACAGACATTCATGATTAACTCTTACCCATTACATTGAACAATCGGAATGGTGCCAGCTCGAATTTGATCTTTGGAAGTGATACAAAAGCCCATGATGCAGCTCCAACCCAAGGCTCGGTCGGTATCAATCTTAATTTAACCCAAAGCTCACCGTCAATGTCAAAATCCCGAATACCAACTGGCACGACTACGGGGATAATACCAAATTTTAAAGAGAGCATTAACAACATACGTGCACCACCAGTATACCGAAGACCAATCTGGTACCTACAAGAAGAAAAATGACAGCATAAGAAGCAGCCTTGAACTGAGCCGTCAAATAGACAGTTTGAAGTATCCAAACTCCCAAAATAACAAACAGAGAGAAAATTCAATGATGCAATTACGAATAGTGTACTGCGTCAGTAGGATTCATATGCACAAAAATGTCACTATTGTTTAACTTTCTTTCCCTTTAAACTCATAGCTAAAAGACGTAAAATGAAGCTTTTATGGTTGACAAACAACAAAAACTGAAATCACATAAGAAAGCAAGTAACGACGTAGGCAATAGCACCAAGGTATTATAAAACTTACTGCAAGTCATTGACGCGGCGAGATGTTCTTCTCTCTACATTTCTAACAGACAAAGGCTCATCCCCAAGTGAGAATTGTTTGATTTCAACTCTCTTCACATAATCTGGTTTCTTCAAGTCATCAATCACTGGCTGCAACAATCCAATAAGCCAATTCTCAATCCCACCTCTATAAACTTTCCAGAGCTTCACCAACACCATGTTCACCCATTCCACAGACTCTTTCCTTTGCAAATCCTTCTCGAGAGACAGGGCGAAGCTAGTGGGAACCTGTGCCCATGGCCCAGCTCCTCGTTGTCCACCGTCATCACCCGTTTGTATCCGCCTCTTCCTCCACGTCCATAGCTTGTCACAAACAACACCAACAAAGAAGAAGAAGGCAAATAAACCAATGGCATTACGATTAATCGGTGGCGAAGGGATTGGATGGATAACACCTAGCTGAGTCCTCAGCTTATCCACTATGGGGTCTTCTCTAAAGTTAGTGAAATTGCTTCGATCACCCTGAACTGAATTCTCCTGAGTTGATTCTTCTTCGTCCTCGAATTCATTCGAAAACCGAGTAATCACAAGACTTCTTGCAACCTTTCTCGTCGAATTGGCTAATCCTACGTTCTTCGATTCCCCGCGAATTCCGGAGGAAACAAACCTCAAATTCGCATTCTCGACCTGAACTCTAAACTTCCGACGGAGAACCCGCCTCCTCGCGAATCCATCACAGAACAGAATCAGTCCGTGCTCATTGGAGCAAGGACAGAACAGAGGACGTGGAGACAGGAAATCGAAACTAGAAAAGGAAGAAGGAGATTGTAGAATCATTTATCAATCGTCTTTTTCACCGGAAACTCCACGCAGGAGAACCTAATTGACGCATCTCCGCCGTTCACACAGCAAACACGATTATAGGAAGGTCTCAAAGCAAACACTGAACACAGCACGGCAGCGACGAAACCTGTCGGTATCCCCTTAGGGTTTCGAGAAAGGGATTGAAAATCGAGAAGGCTCGAAAGGAATAGCGACAAAGAAAGGATGAAGAAGATGGGAGAATGGCAGAGAGATAGAATTGGCTAGTGACCGATGGAGAGAGTCTATCGTTGTACTTGTACCTATGTGAATGAGGCCATTTATAAAAGTTTTTAGTTTCCTCACGGTAAAAACTAGTAAATCGTTGGGTCCTCTTCTCAGGTATTTTCTCCATGTGTAATAATTTTATTCAGTCTCAATTATATCGAACCCAACTCATATGATGATGGATCCAAAATTTGTTCGCTTTACCGGTTTATCACATAAAAATGTTCATACCGGAAATGTTTGACG